ATGGCCTTTAGTTCACAACCGAAAAGATAGTTCTGGGGCCTCAGGGGGCTCATGTTCATGTCCATCAATTCTTCCATGGGGTGGTGGCATGCACTTAAGTGGGTGAGGAGGCAGACTAGTTAAACCGCTATGGCTCCTGAAAACAGCTACGCAGGACACAATCACTCCAGGGCTGGTTGACACTTTTAACAGAAGCTTTTCATTAGCTATGCACTTTTCTCTGAATTAAGTCTCTTAGACAACCAGAACTTTTACAGACAACCAAAGCTAGTTTCTTGAATGTCCAGAGCTTGTAAGTATTTTTGTGTGTGTTTTTTTTTGTTTGTTTGTTTGTTTGTTTAGGTTTTTTTGGGGTTTTGTTTTGGTTTTGGTTTTGTAGAGGTTTTTGCTATAGGGCGCATGCGCTCACCAGAAAGACAGAGAGAGACAGAAACAGGAAAGCGATAAATCACCCCCCAAAGGTCACAATACCTTCTCCTCTCAGGATCTTGGGCACACATGCACACACACCCAGCATGAGTTTAAGCCATCACATCTGGACCTTGAACCACGGTCAACTACGTGGGAGTCTTGCAACACAGCCATTATGCCAACTGCTGGTCCCCAGAACTTGTAACTTTTAAAATTTAATATATTTTTTTATTATTATTTTGCTAGTGGGTGCATGTACTCACTAGAAAGAGATAGAGAAACAGAAAGGAAGAGGAAAAAGCACTCCTATGGGAGTCACACTACTGTACATTCTCCCCCCTGTCTCTCTCCCTTTAGGATTTTGGGCATGCATGCACATGTGCTTTGTATGTTTCTTAAATCACTGGGTTCAAGACTCAAATCATGGAGTCAGCCATGTAGGATCTGGCTGCCTTAACCGCCAGGCCGTGGTGCTGGCCCCAGAGCTTTTAACATTTAACGATGCATGTAAGTTAATTTATGAATTAGGCTGCATCAATTGGTCTGATAAACATTTTCTTCTATTATTTAAGTAAAGTTTTAGCAAGCCTGGCTAAAGTTCCATGTCCACATACCTTTCAGGGCCTAGACAGCTTGAAATGCCTTACAATTTTTTTCTCAACCTATTATTTCTAACTAGTGATTTTTAAATGACTTTTCTATATTTTTAAAATATGAAATATGTTGTATTTTTTACCTTCAGAAATTTGATTTAGAACTTTTTAATATTTTCTATTTCTCTAGTTAACTGACTTTTTCTTTTTAGAGATTTTTGTTATAGGGGCATGCACTTGCCCAAGAAACAGAGACAAACTGTGGGAAATCACCTCCTAGAGGGTATGGCTGTACCCTGAAATCTCTTCTCCATTCTCCACTTGTGAGTTTGGGTATGTACTCACACGTGTGTGCGTGCACACACACACACACACATCTGGCATGAGTTTAAGCCACCGAGTCTGAGACTTGAACCACGGATGACTACATGGGAGTCCAGCAACATAACCATGACACCATCTTCTGGTCCCTCCAGTTATCTTTTAAATTATATAGAATATAGCTATAATAATTGATTCAATGTCCTAGTCTGCTAATTCTACCATCTATGTCCAGGTTCTGGGTCATTTTCAATTATTTTATTTATCTCCTCATTATGGGTTACCTTTTCTTCTTTTCTTACTGACATGTAATAATGTATGGAATATAATATTTATGGAATACAATGTTATTTTTCAGACAATAATATGATGAAATCAGGGTAATGAACATATTCAACATCTTTATGCCCATTTATTGCTTTATTTTGTTTTGTTTTGTTTGTTTTACTGAATGTCAAACATTGTGAATTTTCTCTTGTTGAGTGCTGGATATTTTTGTACTCCTATAAATATTCCTGGGCTTAGTTTTGAATGGAATTAAGTTACTTGGAAACAATTTAATTCTTTCTGTTTTCTTTTAACATTGGATATTTACCAATATTTTCAATTTACCTCTAAACGTTTCAGATAGTTTTACCCTAGTCTTATGTAGTTTTGTTATTCATATGAATTGATCAGTACTAAGATGAATACTCAGTGAGAACCCTCTGCAGATACCCATTTTTTTTTCTTTCTCTCTCTTTGTAGCTCTTTTTTTCTCTGATACTCTGTCCTGAGAGTTCTACCAACCTACTCTCACCAGACTTTCAGATTTCTCACCCCAGTCCAATGGAAAACTTTTTCAGATCATAAACAGTAATAATTTATTACAAAACTCATTCCATGTCTTTCTTACATTTCAGATATCATTGTCTTCTGTTATTTCATATCCAGGATATTAAAAACCATTGTTTTATATATTTTGTCCATTTGGGGGCTGCTTTACATGGGAGAGTAAACATGGTCCCTGTTATTCCATATGTGTCAGACATGGAGTTCTGAAAGAGTCTCCAAAAGTAGAGAGTTGGGGTCAGCAAATGCCTATGAGAAGCAACCAAGCTTGAGAGCCACTGCTCTAGGCTAAAGGATAACCTCAGGAAACATGGTATCTTTGTTTTCCATAGACAAAGAATACAGTATAGGAAAGTCCTGTTTTGCTTCCTCAGTTATCCAAAATTACCTACTTCTTTCCTGCTGCAATAACCCTTTGTCTAGCCCTCGAGCACACTTACATGCTTTCTGTTCAATATTAAGTTCCCAGGAAGTACTTCCTGTGATCATCTACTCCACTCTTTAAGTTGACTCCTTTCTCACTCACATGAAGTTACTGGTAAAGCTTGCATAACTCTTTGAGGAAAACAGATGTTAATTAGATTATATGGAACTCTCCTTGGCAGACTGGACAAATCAAGGCCACAGGACCTTCACCCCAGCCAGAGATCTGTGTAACAAGAAAATCTCTTGGTTCACTGGGGAGTCCATAGATTTTTAACAGAAGAAGGAGGGCAACCACTGGGGGAGAACCCAATATAGCAAACTGCAGCTTGAGACCTGGAGACTGATGTTCCTAGTAATTTTGCCTAGGCAATTGCTGCTATAAACGCTATTCTTATCCTTGGGGCTCTAATTGAGATGACAACACAAGTTTGTCTTAACCAGCTCACCCACTTTATCTGTCACTTCTCTACCTGCAACTCCAGTTAAGATTTTTTTCTTCACCTTTACTGAATTTTTATGGGAATATCTTCCTTGTCTCAAGTCTCCAGACTCAGCAAAACCCACTGGAGAAGGCATGAGTCACTCAGTTCCTAAGGCAAGCAGAAAATAAGATCCCCCACTTTATAAATGAGGAAACTGAGGCCCTGGTGAATTATGGTCAGCAGAACTGTGTAAATGCTTTGAGCCTTGAAGATGCAAAACTTTAGTCTCTGGCTTCACATTACTACAAGACAAGGTAAAATAAAAGCATCCCTGCTAAGAATTGTAGCCCTTTTCTGCTGCTTTTAGAATTTCCTGCTACCATATCCACCACTTCTGCCACCAGATCCATAACTCTCACTGCAGACAGCCACATCAGGTGTATTACCCTGTAAATAGCGGTACCCGGAAGAAAAAAGTAAGCAAGTTTTAACTTAAAAAACAAAACAAAACAAAACACCCCCAACTGAGCTTTTCAGAATTATCATGTAAAAGTGCTGGAAAGGTCATCAGACTCTCCATCCTTATGACAGAGGTCATTGACTGCTGGTCAGGAGCACAGTTAAGTTTGGCTCTATGGAACTCAACAATGCTTAGAATAACTGCCATTCACAGACTTGTTGGTTTGTGTTTCCAAACCATCAGAACTGCAATAACTAAAGTAAATCTAGTTATTTTAAATGTGTCAAGCAGTGTAATCAAGAGAAGTAAAGGTATCAGAACTGATGCTGTGTCCTTCTTGGTGTATCAGTACCAAGAGGCAGATAACAACGTGTCCTGTTTATCTCAAATATGTCTACAAGTAGAAAAGATGTACACTGGGCAAATGATTTGCATTAAGTTATGCAAAAAACATAAAGTATATTTTTGTCTCCTGTGTGACTTTTGCTTGGGACTTGACTGCCTTACATTACCTATGACTAACTGTAGAGTCAGAATTACCAGGGTTCTTGGTACTTAGTTGGGTAAATACACATTGAATGAATTAATGAAAGAAAAAGGAAATCAGACCTTTCTCTCAGGCTTCCACCTGTCTCTCTGGTCTCTTCACCTCTTTTTCTCATTGTTTACCACCCACCAGCTTCCCCAACCATTTTTTCTGTCCAAACTGTGACCTACTCATTTCTTTTTTTTTTAAAAAAAAAGAATGATTTAACTTTATTTATTATTATTATTATCTTAATTTGCTATAGGACACAGCAAGTGACATGGTGGTTGAGGTGCTGAACTCCCACATGAACTACTCATTTCTTGACATAAGCTCTTTGCACAGTTTCCTTTGACTCAAGAACTCT